TCTTACGATACTGTTGTTGTTGTTTTTAGAATTACAGTATATCTATTTATCACATTCTTACGATACTGTTGTTGTTGTTTTTAGAATTACAGTATGTATACCTATCACATTCTTACGTTGTTGTTGTTGTTGTTTTAAAAGGTTAACAAATGATCATTCGCGAACGATGAAATCAACATTTATTTTTTTAACACACTCCTCTTTATTCAAGTTAATAAAAACTGTTAACTTTATTTTAAATTTAACACGAAGAATGTATATTAGCCTGTGCCTAGAATACTTAATACAACCTTTACTCCCGGTGTTTCATTTATTTATAGTAAATCATATTTCATTTAGTTAAGAAGACCCTCTACCTTTTATTTTATTCTCGTTTCTCTTCCAGCTCTTTTGGTGTTATATCACTTTTCTACGTCGTATTTCTTATCATTTACGAGTATTTCGTAGGGAATTACACTCCAGGTCCAGTGAGAACAAGTCCTGCAGTATGGACTGATGTGTTTCAAGTGGTGCCTACCATTTGCTTCGGTTACCAGGTACGAGTCTCGCTATATGACAGACTTGAGCTTAACATTTAAACGTTGAGAATAATGTAATTATTTCTATAGATTTACCACCTTCACCATACTTAATCATTTATTTTAATTCTGTACGCCAAAAGTAGGTGTAAAGATAACATATAAAGTGGTAAAGATAACTTCATAACATGGATTCCTATTATACTATATTTCTATAGATTTGCCAACTTCACCATACTTAATCATTTATTTTAATTCTGTACGCCAAAAGTAGGTGTAAAGATAGCATATAAAGTGGTAAAGATAACATGGATTCCTATTATACTATATTTCTATATTAGCTGGAGTACGGAAATTACGTAAATTTATGACTAATGAAAAGTTATCTTAAGATATGAAAAGCTGCTTCCCTTATATGTAATTGTAGGGAAAAAAACGCAAAAATGCCATTAAAAACTGCAAAAAAGCAAAACTGGAAATTTGTATGTATTTCTCCATGAACCTCCACACTAAATTTGGTGGGGTAGTGGTAAAAAACGCCTATAAAAACCACAAAACGCAAAATGTACAACTGAAAATTTGTATGTACTCCCGCATGGACCCAATGAACCTACATACCAAGTTTGGTGAAGATCCATTCACACCCTGCGAAGTAGTTACATAGACATACAACATACAGTACTATTATATTTATATAGATTACTCACTAAAATTCCACGAATGATTTTTATACACTTCTATATTGTTAAGTATACTGTTACTCATTAAATTCCACGAATGTTTTTTATACACTTCTATATTGTTAAGTATACTGTTACTCACTAAAATTCCATGAATGTTTTTATACACTTCTATATTGTTAAGTATACTGTTACTCATTAAATTCCACGAATGATTTTTATACACTTCTATATTGTTAAGTAAACTGTTACTCATTAAATTCCACGAATGATTTTTATACACTTCTATATTGTTAAATATACTGTTACTCATTAAATTCCACGAATGTTTTTATACACTTCTATATTGTTAAGTATACTGTTACTCATTATATTCCACGAATGATTTTTTATACACTTCTATATTGTTAAGTATACTGTTACTCATTATATTCCACGAATGATTTTTATACACTTCTATATTGTTAAGTAAACTGTTACTCATTAAATTCCACGAATATTTTTATACACTTCTATATTGTTAAGTAAACTGTTACTCATTAAATTCCACGAATGATTTTTATACACTTCTATATTGTTAAGTATACTGTTACTCATTAAATTCCACGAATGATTTTTATACACTTCTATATTGTTAAGTAAACTGTTAATCATTAAATTCCATGACATGATTATTACCTACTCATTCTAATAATGACACACAAGTTCGTAATCGCCATGTTCTTGGCACATTGATAGTAAGTTGGCTATTAATTCTGGAGATTTAATTAATGTCGTTAAGTAAATCTTGGAACAAATTTTGTTGTTTAATTTTTGTTATTCTGTAATTCATAATTTGCTGGATGAATGTTTTAAGAAAGTTTTTTGAAATACAGTTCTACATGGTAATCCTTTCTACGTTTCACAAAACTTTTTGATGGGTATTATAATATCGATACTTCAAACTCAGGGGGTTTATTGAAACGAGGATATCATAAATTCAAAATGTGAAACTCCAGTTCCTTTTTTTCTTATTTCAGGATTTATTTATTCCTGGTCTTGAGAACTAATCATCAAAGCAAACTACTTTATATAACTCGTTTAGGCACTAATAATGCTCTCCAGTGGCACTACGTTATGTCCGCGGACAGCGCTAGAATCCGGGTTTCGATACCCGTGGTGGGCAGAGCACAGATAGCCCATTGTGTAGCTTTGTGCTTAATTACCAAACAAACAAACAATACACGTGTGGAAATAAACCTCCAAGTAGATAAATTATGTATAGGATTTCGTATATAATATGTTTTACGTTCAAATTATTTTCTGTTTTTCTAGTGCCACGTGAGTAGTGTTCCTGTATACTCCTGCTTAGCTGACAGAAGAGTCACCAATTTTCTTCGCACTGTCCTCGTGGCTATCGGATTGTGCATGTTCACATATTCTGTAGCTGCAACAGCCGGTTACTTGACCTTTGGTTCTCACGTGACAAGTGACATTTTGGAATCGTACGATGCCAAAGATACAGTAGTCATGATAGGGATGGCTGCTTTAGGAGCCAAAATGTATACTACCTATCCCATCGTACTGTTCTGTGGAAGGTAAGAGGATGAGAATAGTCGTTGGCCAAAACGATCCGATCACCAAAGGGTAAATTTTAAGTAGTTAATTTATTATTATTATAATACACTAATTATCTGTTCGTTTTATATCCTACGTTCGATTCTAAACATGTGGAGATTACTTTATGAAGTTGGGAAATCCTGGTTCTAGCCTAGCCTCGGTCTTCTTCTTAATAAGCCATGTAATCTATTCACGTGAAGATCGAAGTGTGGGATAACACAAAATTTGTTATTTTTCTTTAATTGAACACTCATCGTTTCCTTTACAGATTCTCCACTAAAATAGAAACTATAACTGACAGCTTCAAATAGTATTAAAATGTTTTATATACACACCAGTGTGCAGTATGGAAATTAAATAAGGATATAAAACTAGTTAATAATTAACATATCTTAATAAAAAATTAGTAGCTAATTGGTAACTGGAGTTTGGTAATCGTATAGGCTACTAACCATGGCAACGATTGGTATCCCATCGCCCAAACCTTATCGTATGTACTTAATGAAAAAAGTCAAAGAACTAACGTGAAAAAAAAGGTAACATTTCAAATTGGTTTACTTCCGACTTCATTAAAAGATAACATTTCAAACTGGTTTATTTCCGACTTCATTAAAAGATAACATTTCAAACTGGTTTATTTCCGACTTCATTAAAAGATAACATTTCAAACTGGTTTATTTCCGACTTCCTTGAAAGATAACATTTCAAACTGGTTTATTTCCGACTTCATTAAAAGATAACATTTCAAACTGGTTTATTTCCGACTTCATTATTTTGAATTTCAAGTTGCTTTATTTCAATGTAGAATTCCCTATTTAGACTTTCATCTAAGCTTCAGGAAAAATGTTTCAATCCTGATCTGTTAGCGCGGGAACATTTATAATTATTATTTACTCACCACTAAATTAGGCAACTAAATTTCGATGACACTGGAAAAAGAAAATGATATACAAAAGTATTTGATATAAAATTTATTTATTTTAAGCGCAAAGGTGTGCAATTGACTATCTGCACTGTGCCTACTCCAGGGATCAAACACCAAATTTATTTTGTACGATATAGATAACATTTCATGAGGAATAAGGAACTTATTTTGACTCGTTACTAAGATGCCTTAAGTGTATACCTATTTCCCCTAATAAAAGAAAATTATAAAATAGATTTGGTTTGTTTTGTTTCAAATTTCGCGCAAAGTGCAAAGTAACTCGAGGTATATCTGCTCTAGACGCCCCTAACTTAGCAGTAATGAACTAGAGGGAAGGCAGCTAGTCAACACCACCCACCGTCAACTCTAAGCCTACTTTTGTTACCAGCGGCTGAAAGGGCGAACATAATCGGTGACGGAGATTCGAACCCACGACCCACGGATTGGGAGTCGAGCGCCCTAACCACACACACAAATGATCTGAATGAAAATCTAAATGGACTTGCACGGATCCCAGTTCTACTAATTTCAACACAAATGTTGCCTATAACAGTTTTGCATTGAAGAATATGTGATGATAGATCGTATTATATTTACTTCGTTCACTCGTGTTATATATATAACAAGTTAGCTGTTTCGTATTATTCATGTGTAAACCGACATTTTCATGATTCTGCATTTTCATATAACTTTGCACTGATTGCATGTCTGATATTTAAAACAACCCCGGGGATTTTGAAGTGAAATTTTTTAAAACCGACAATAAGTTTATAGTTAAATCAAGGTGTTCGTATGTAACTTTTATGAAAAAAAAAAAACTGCAGATGGCGCTTGCTTCTGTCAACGACTATCTCCTTCTAACCAATACCACGCATAATTTCGCTCTAATTTGGTCTGCACGCGATAGAATTGACTTAAAAAGTAATAATGATCACAACGGGCCTATTTAAATTATCAATTTATCGAATATGTTTTCAATAACTTGATCGCAAAACTGCCTTTAACTCCACTTGGATTGGAGTGTAGACTGTTTTATCCCAATATGAATAACTTTAAGGTTTTTGAGCATAATTTTTGTTACATGAGATGGGTTTTCAAAATTACAGAATGCTAATGAAAAATTGTATCGTTGTACTAAAGGTTTTGAAGAATATATTTTAAAATGTTTGTAAAAAATTAGAATATTTAATATTGCGCTCCCCGTGATAATAAGTTTGTTTGTTTCAGAATTTCGCGAAAAGCTACACAAGTGCTATATATGCATAGCCGTAGGTACTTTTGAGCTGATAGACTAAAAAGGAAGAAAACCAGTTATCAGTCGACGTTCAGGCTACTCTTGTACGATCGTACAGTGCGATTTGACCGTCACTTTTATAGACCACACCGACCCCAAATGTGGAGCGCGTTTGTGCGACAACGAGTCGTGAATAATGGGGTCGTTAACCACTAGATCACGATAGGCTCGTGATAGTGGATGTTTAGCATTACTTGTCAACATCAATTCCTGTTCCAATAATATGAATATCAGGAAACTCACAGAACAAGCAGAAGTCCACAAAGGTCAGTTAGTTGTCATGGAAGTCCCCTGGTGACAGGCTTTTTATGTGTGAGTTATGTTGATAAAACTACTATACACACGACCTCAAAAAAAAATCGACTGCTTTTTTTAGATGCTAAAATAGATTAAGTATTCATTAAAATTCAGAAAACTGTGTATAAAGAGAAAAAATATAAATCAAATCATTAAGATCAGTTTAAAAATATAAATCAAATCCCCAAATCATTAAGATCAGTTTAAAAATATAAATCAAATCCCCAAATCATTAAGATCAGTTAAAAAATATAAATAAAATCACCAAATTGTTAAGATCAGTTTAAAAATATAAATCAAATCATCAAATCATTAAGATCTGTTTAAAAATATAAATCAAATCACCAACTCATTAAGATCAGTTAAAAAATGTAAAGCAAATCACCAAATTATTAAGATCTGTTTAAAAATATAAATCAAATCACCAAATTATTAAGATCAGTTTAAAAAGATAAATCAAATCACCAAATCATTAAGATCAGTTTAAAAATATAAATCAAATCACCAACTCATTAAGATCAGTTAAAAAATGTAAAGCAAATCACCAAATTATTAAGATCTGTTTAAAAATATAAATCAAATCACCAACTCATTAAGATCAGTTAAAAAATGTAAAGCAAATCACCAAATTATTAAGATCTGTTTAAAAATATAAATCAAATCACCAAATCATTAAGATCAGTTTAAAAATATAAATCAAATCACCAAGTCGTTAAGATCAGTTTAAAAATATAAATCAAATCACCAAATCATTAAGATCAGTTTAAAAATATAAATCAAATCACCAAATCATTAAGATCAGTTTCTTCCGAACAAACATCTGCCTGCTAAGATTACAGCAGTAAACACTTCCGGAGGATTTGATGGGAAGCACGATTCTGCGTGGTGAAACTATCAAACAACTGTAATAAGTGTATAAGGGGAACTGAACTGCTAGATATGTTAATGGTCATCACTTAGGCTCTTGCCCCCCAGTAGCACAGCGGTATGTCTGCGGACTTACAACGCTAGAATCCGGGTTTCGATACCCGTGGTGGGCAGAGCACAGATAGCCCTTTGTGTAGCTTTGTGCTTAATTTCAAACAAACAAACAAACTTAGGCTCTACTCGCCACTTTTCTATCCGCTACGAAACATCTTGTAACCCCATTTATGGTATGTGGCGGTTTGACCCCATGGTCTCGGCATATTTTCACCTGCTTCTCGTTTTATTATCATTATTATTATTAAGGTTATATTCAGGTTATAAAGAATTCCAAGCTGCTTTAAACTGTACAACCTGAGCAGCATTTTAAGCAACAAATGGGCAATACAGTCAGGTCAAAAAACCACAAATTCCGTCATAGCTATCTCAGATTTATAACTGTTGACCAAGGGGAGAGTACCCGCCGCCTGCATGGCTATTCCCAGCCGAAAAGCGGTACTGATTGTCACACTTATAACACTACCTCAGCTGAAAGTGCGGAGCATTTTCAGCAGCGTCTTACGGCTCGAACCTTGGACCCTCCGGACCACCGACTGACATGTTAGCTTACTAGGCCACGCCCAACCCATAATTCTTTTAAATGTAATGTTGATTTTATTATTTTAAAAAACTGGAGTTTAATTACTGAGATAACTTTAATGTTTTGTTAGTAATTACCAACTTTTAAGCCCTCATACGAATGAAACCTATTTCGTACAAGCTTTTATACTTTTGTTTTTAATACGAGTGTTTTAAAAGCAAACTGACAGCGTTTTTAAGTGAATATGTACAAATTTAATCGGTTTGCATGTTTATTTGTTGAAAGTCGCGCAAATCTACACGATGGCTATCTGCGCTAGCCGTCCATAATTTTTAAATGATAGACTAGAAAAAAAGGGAGCTAGTCAACACCATCCACCGCCAACTCTTGGGCTATCCTTTTGCCAGCAAATAGTGGGACTGACCGTCACAATATAACGCCCCCCACTGCTGATAGGGCGAGCATGTTTGGTGACGGTATTCGATCTCGCATCCCGCAAAGTGCGAGTCGAGAGCCCTAACCACCAGGCCATGCCGGGACAGTTAAATATGAAAATAAATTCTGAAGATTACGCACCTGTCATTTTAATTTCTCTATCAAAATAACTTGCCCCTCCCCAGTGGCTTACAACGCTAGAAACCGGGTTTCGATACCCGTGGTGGGCAGAGTACAGATAGCCCTTCGTGTAGCTTTGTGGTTAACTATAAATAAACAAAATAACTTGCCCCCCCCCCCAGTGGCACAGCGGTATATCTGTGGACTTACAACGCTAGAAACCGGGTTTCTATACCCGTGGTGGGCAGAGTACAGGTAGCCCTTTGTGTAGCTTTGTGGTTAACTATAAATAAACAAAATAACTTAACAGAAATATTTTTAAAGCATTAATAATAAAATATAATGTTTTAATTTATTTTGATAAGTTATTATTCGTGCTTTTTAAGTCAGACATCTTTATTTTTTTATTAAAATAAATATAAAAGCTTAAGGTCTATCGAGGACTATTATAACAGTTTCTTCTTGTTCCGATTTGTCCTGATGAAAAAATGTGGTAACCAATAGCACTGGCGATGCTTTTTTGTTCTGTGAGATGTTCATATCAATAATAAGGTTGGTTTAGGCTCAAATGGAATTTACTTCTTCTTTAACGGATTGAAAGTTAAAGGATTTCTTTTCCACAATATTGAAACGAACCCCGGATTTTAGCAGTTAGAAATGTAGAGGAAAATTAAGAGTTGAGTATACATTTGTGAAAGAAAGTTTATGTATTTGCATAAACGTTTACGTTCATTTATTTGTAGATTTAATGCGTGTTTTTTTTGTTAACAAAAATGTTACAGAACGGCCATAGATGATTTATACACCCAAGTAAGAGGAATTCCACCAGAGGACGCTGTTAAAAATGAACCTTGTAGAAGAATTGTCATCGCTTTAGTCTGGTTTAGCTGCTCTTTAACCTTAGCTCTTTTAATACCCAACATTGGAGTTGTGATCGAATTTGTGGGGAGTTTGGCAGCAGTTTTCATCTTTATTTTTCCAGGTACGTTACGTTGATAGAAAAATACATCTTATTTATCGTAATAGCGTAGAATAAAAAATGTGGTATAAATTGTAAGTTCCCTTTGAATAACCTTTAGTATGTTTTGATAGCTAAACATAATATTGTGCAAAAGTAAAACATTTGAACAAGATCTTTCAAAAATGTCTCTAGTCATATTTAATAGAGTCAAATTGACACAAAGTTTGAATCAACTGTATGCAATGTTTCTTTTGTTTTAAATTATCAGATCCATCTAGTATGTTCTTTGTTTTAAATTATGACATCCATCTAGACTGTTCTTTGTTTTAGATTATCAGATCCATCTTGTCTGTTCTTTGTTTTAAATTATCAGATCCGGCTAGACTGTTCTTTGTTTCAAATTATCAGATCCATCTAGACTGTTCTATGTTTTGAATTATCAGATCCATCTAGTTTGTTCTTTGTTTTAAATTATGAAATCCATCTAGTCTGTTCTTTTTTTAAATTATCAGACTCATCTAGTTTGTTCTTTGTTTTAAATTATCAGATCCATCTAGACTGTTCTTTGTTTTAAATTATCAGATCCATCTGGACTGTTCTTTGTTTTAAATTATCAGATCCATCTAATCTGTTCTTTGTTTTAAATTATCAGACCCATCTAGTCTGTTCTTTTTTTAAAGTATAAGTTATATCTTGTGTGTACTTTGTTTTAATAAAAATTATCAGCTGTATCTAATATGTACTTTGTTTTAAGTTATCAGCCCTATCTTGCGTTTAATTAGTTTTAAGTTATTACCCCTATCTATAAAAGTACATATTAGATACAGCTGATAATTTTTATTAAAACAAAGTACACGTTTTAAGTTATCAGCCCTATCTTGAGTTTAATTAGTTTTAAATTATTACCCCTATCTAGTGTGTACTTTGTTTTAAATCATTAACAGGATCTAGTGTGTACTTTGTTTTAAATCATTAACAGGATCTAGTGTGTTCTTTGTTTTAAATCATTAACAGGATCTAGTGTGTTCTTTGTATTAAATTAGTTGAAACTTCTGTTAGTAAATCAGAAACAAGAAAATAAAATAAAAGCTCTACGACGAGAGGATTAATTTTTAGTAAATCATGCCTTAAGTTTACCATATGTATTTGACAATTTTGATATTTTATTACCCTGATTAAAAACTGCAAGTATTTATATTTCAATAACATTCTAAAATTATCTTCTTGGTACGTTGCTGAATAGTGTACTCATTTTAAGACATAAATGTCACAATCAGGTGGATTACAGTCTGGAGGTGTAGTTTATAATTATTTCAAAAGGAAATAATTGCTGCCATTAGAGTTGATACATATTAAACACGAGGGTTAAGATCCTCTCATGAAAACGGAGATTTTTCCAAATTCCTAATCGTAAACAGATATTAAATTCCTTAATTGAATATTGAACAGCGTGTGATCACAAGACCGATCACGGAGTGTTAAAAATGGTAGAAAGTAGTCTTAGTTTAGATAATAAGGCGTTTCCACTAAGTTAAGGATCACTCCAAAGAATATTTCAAGTTTCGCAACGACACAATGCATGTGTACTTGGAGCGTATATTAGCATCACGGTTCGACTGTCTGTAGTTAAGCACAAAGTTGCACAATGGGCTATCTGTGCTGTGGCCATCACGGGTGATAATTATTAACAACTATCGGATTTTCCAGCTAGTATTAACAGTTGTCTCCCTTCTACCCACTATTAACAGTTGTCTCTCTTCCATCCAATATTAACAGTTGTCTCTCTTCCACCCACTATTAACAGTTGTCTCTCTTCCATCAAGTATTAACAGTTGTCTTCCTTCCACCCAATATCAACAGTTGCCTTCCTTTCACCCAGTATTAACAGTTGTCTCCCTTCTACCCACTATTAACAGTTGTCTCTCTTCCATCCAGTATTAACAGTTGTCTCCCTTCCATCCAGTATTAACAGTTGTCTCCCTTCTACCCACTATTAACAGTTGTCTCTCTTCCATCAAGTATTAACAGTTGTCTCCCTTCCACCCAATATCAACAGTTGCCTTCCTTTCACCCAGTATTAACAGTTGTCTCCCTCCATCCAAGTATTAACAGTTGTCTCTCTTCCATCCAGTATTAACAGTTGTCTTCCTTCCACCCAATATCAACAGTTGCCTTCCTTCCACCCACTATTAACAGTTGTCTCCCTTCCATCAAGTATTAACAGTTGTCTCCCTTCCATCAAGTATTAACAGTTGTCTCTCTTCCATCCAGTATTAACAGTTGTCTTCCTTCCACCCAGTATTAACACTTCTTTTACCAATTGAACCGTATGTTAATTTTTACCCTTCTTTTACCAATTGAACCGTATGTTAATTTTTACCCTTATTTTACCAATTGAACCGTATGTTAATTTTTACCCTTCTTTTACCAATTGAACCGTATGTTAATTTTTACCCTTCTTTTACCAATTGAACCGTATGTTAATTTTTACCCTTCTTTTACCAATTGAACCGTATGTTAATTTTTACCCTTCTTTTACCAATTGAACCGTATG